CTCTCCTCTGGGGCCGCTCCGCTCGCGCTCCAGAGGAGGAGGAGGAGGAGGAGGAGGAGGAGGAGGAGGAGGAGGAGGCGGAGAGGAAGGAGGAGGCGGAGGAGGAGGAGGAGGAGGAGGAGGAGGAGGAGGCGGAGAGGAAGGAGGAGGCGGAGGAGGAGGAGGAGGGCGAGGAGGCGGAATCGCGGGCCGCGAACCGCGCGCCGCGAAACTACACCGCGCCCTCGTGGTGGCCCTCCGAAGGGCAACGAGAACGGGGGGGGGGAACTGGCACAGGGGAGAAACGTCGACCTGGATTGGCGATACGTCGCCGATGGATCGGCGAGAGGCCTCGGATAGTGACTCCGCACCTTCCTGGGCAGGCTGAGGCCATCGGGCCCCTCTCGGCGATCCATGGGCGCTTGGGGGTCGATGCCCCCCCCCCCCCCCCTACGTCTATCCCCCACTCGGGTAACCAAAAGTTACTGATACCGCGACTCCCTGGACTTCTCCCAGGGTGCGTTCTGGCCCGGATTTCGAGGCGAATCCAGCGGTGGCGACGAGGGCCACCCAGGAGGAGCAAAAAGGGGGAAACGGGCGCAGGGTAGCGGTATGGATCACTACCTCTTCCCCATCTGACCACTAATCGCTGCCCCCGACTCGTCTCCTCGGTCGCCAGGGCCCCCAGCAGGGCCCAGCACTTCTCCTCGGCCTCGGCGAGCCGCGGCAGCGCGCCCCGGGCGGCCACGGGCGCGTGCTGCAGGGACACCGCGGGCCGCGCGACGGGCCCGCAGAGCCCCGACAGGCGGACCGTCGAGGACGCCCGGGCGGCCTCCTCGCTCCTGGGGTGGGACCGGCTAGGATTACGCTCGCGTCGGGCACGTCCGTCTGCAGGAGGAAGATTCAGGAATAGTGAAAACATCGTCTGGGGAAGCTTTATCGACCACGTTTCGGCTATGTTTGAATATGTTTCGACTCTTGATTATCTGTCTTTCAGAATCCGCCTGTAGGAGGACATGCCCGACCTAAGATTACGAACAAACAGAAAAACCAGGAGGTCAGCGCGGATTTCTCGGATCCGCGATGGACCCCCCCCCTCCCTGGCGCGCGGAGCGCGCCAGGCGCGGCGCCTCTGGCGCCGCCAGGGGGGCCTTAGCGCCGACCCGAGGAGTCCGCGCGGACCTCTGAGTTCTGATGGTCATGCCGTTGGTTGTTCCCCGAGCTCCATTGCTCCAGGGTCGCCCCGGCAGCGCTCTTCCTGGGGGGCGGAAGGCGGGCACTGCGCGTACGTGCACCAGAACTTAAGACGAAGCCAGGACGAGATCAACTTCGGGCGAGGACGCATCGATAATCTCTTAGATCCGGCGGCTCTGGAAAATGTCTCGGGCGCCGCGGCCTTCTCAGAGGTGTCCGGAACGGTCTGAGAACCTTCCGGAACGCTCTGGACCGGATTTATCAGCGTCCTGGTCCGGTCCGAAAATATCTGAGCCCTGTCCCAAGTGGCTTCGCAGGAACGCCACAGGACAACGCATAGTGAATAATTTCAAACCAGGTTCTCCAGGCAACAACTGTTGGGATACACACACACACACACGCTCGCGCGAAGTGTGTACACATACATACGTACATGCACACATGTATACATACATACATACACACATACATACATACAAACAAAAACATACACGTACATTCATACATACATACACGCATACATATATACATCGCTACACAACATACATGCATGCATTCAAAAGACATACATACATGAATAAACACATACCTACATACATACATACATACATACACACACACATACATACATACATACATACATACATACATACATACATACATACATACATGACATGCATTCATACGTACATGAATACATACATGTATGCATACATGCATGTCTGCATGTATGCATGCATGCATGTAGACCTACATACATTGTACATACATACAAAAGTACGTGCATGAATGCATGCATGCATACATACATACATAGATACATAGACACATACATACGTAAACACCTACATGCCTACATGCATACATACACCCAGACATGCAAAACGCATGCAATTATGTACATCCATACATACATCAGTACGTACAGCATGCATATATACATACATACGTACACGCATGTATGCATGTGTGGGCATGAATTCATGCATGCATACATACACACATAAGTACAGACACACAACCATACATACACACATATACGCAACCATACATGCATGCAGACTGAAGTACATACATGCATACATGCATGCATACATACGTACGTACATGTGCACATGCATGCATACATGCACACGTTTATACATCCATTCATACCGGCATGTGTACTCACTGGCATACGTACATGCGTACATGTATGCATGCGTGCTTACATGCTTACGTACGCTCATGCAAACATTCATAAGTACATACATTGATGCATGCATGCATGTACTCCTGCATACAGAAATACGAACTCACATGCATGCATACATACACACGTACATGCATGAATGCAGTCATGCGTGCATGCGTGCATACATGCATCCATACAAACATACGTACGTACATAGATACACATTTACACACATGCAGGCATAGGTGCATGCATACATGCATGTGTACATACATGCATACATGCGTACATGCATGCATGAATGCACGCATGCATACATGCATTCATACATACGTACATACATATATACACATGTGCGTACATGCATGCATGCACGCACGCGCACATCCATACATGCATACAAACATACATCACACGTACTGGCATACATACATACACACGTGAATACGTACATGCACGCATGCACTCTTGCATGCATGCATACATACGTAAACACATGCAAGCATGCGTAGATACATACGTACGTACATGCACACACTCAGACATGCATACGTACGTGCAGTCATGCATGCATGTCTACATGCATTGGTACATGCATCCATGCACACATACATACATGGTGCAAACAGCAACAACAACAGCAACAACAAACAACAACAACAACAACAACAACAACAACAACAACAACAACAACAACTGCAACAACAACAACAACAACAACAACAAACAACAACAACAACAACAACAACAACAACAACAACAACAACAACAACAACAACAACAACAACAACAACAGCAACGGCAACAACAACAACAACTATAATACAATGGCCATGCTCCTGGCTCCGAGAAGAACGCCCATATCACAAGCACCCCGGCAAACGAGGCCCTCCAGTAAGAACACTCGGGGATGGGATCGAACAAGGCAGGGCTGTCTAGGTAACGCCCAAGGCTGTTAGGAGAACGCCAACTATCAGGGAAAACGAGAGGTACCGATACCGCTACTCCCTGGACCTCTCCCAGAGTGCGTTCTGACCACGATTTCGAAGAGAATCCAACCGTGACGACGAGGGCCTCCCAAAAGGCCTCCAAAAGGCGAAAACGAGGTAAGCGTACCGGCACCAGTACCTGTTCCTCGTCTGAGTACGGGAGTTGGCGACGATGGCTTCCGGGGCATAACTCGGCTCTCTGGGGGCCCCTCGGGACGATCTGGCCCCGCGAACGTCCCCGGCGAGGCGCAACCGCTGGAAGACGTCCCGAGGCCGGAAAAAACCGCTGGAAATCGACGAAAACGTCTGGAAACCTCAACCTCATGGGGGTCGGGGTGTTGGAGCCTGAGAAATGAGCACCAACGCCAATACAGGGGGGGCCTCCACCCGGGGAAGATGATCCTGGATGTTGGTGCTGGTGGTAGTTGTTCGGCCACCTAAGGAGCTCGATCTTCCTTCAGTGGAGGCGCTCTGCCGATACTGGTGTTGGCGTCAACCTTTAGGCCTCCGAGGGTGGGTTCTCCCCCCTCGACTTCCGCAGCCACTCGCGCAGCGCGTCCCCAAGGCCCGCAGCGAACGCGGCGCGCAAGACGGTCGGCTGCCGGCACAGGCCGCGCAGCGCCTGGAGCGCCGCCATGAAGCGCTCGGCGCTGCCCCCATGGCCCACCAGGATCTCGATGAGTATTTCGACGGCCTCGCGCTGGCGGTCGTCCTTCGGAGGAGGAGGAATAGAGAGGCACCGATCTACTGCCACCTATCCCCTACTTTCGGCTCTGTGGACCTCCTGGGCGGCCCTCGGTCGCCACGGCTGGATCCGCCTCGGGACTATGGTCAGAACACACCCGGGCAGAGCTCTGGGAAGTAGCGGCATTGGCACCTACAAACAAATGCATAAGCCAAAAAAGGAGGTCCGCGCTGATTTCTTGGATCGGCGCTGGAGCCTCCTTGCGGCGCCTCCGGCGCAGCCCCTGGCGCGTTCCGCACGCCAGGGAGGGGGTCCAGCGCGGATCCAAGAAATCAGCGCGGACCTCCGAAAACTCGTGTTTACGCTGTTGGTGCCCGATCCTTGAGGACGGGGGCCCCGTCAGCCGGCTCCAGCCACGCGACGGCCTTGAGGAGGCCGAGACACGTCTGCAGCTGCTCCAGGTGGCCCGCGCGGTGGCAGGCCAGCGCGCACTGTATCAGCGTGAGCAGCTGACGCGGCATCGACAGCTCGGCGAGGGCCCTGGGGGCCAGGCCGTGCGCGGAGCCCTCCCAGCAGAGGAGGTCGAGCAGCGCCAGCGCCTCCCCGGCCAGCGCTGGCCCCCGCGACGCGTGCCGGTAGACGACGCGCAGGGCCGTGTCGACGAAGCCGCTCTCCAGGAGGCTCTGCTCGACTGGCCTGGGAGGCCTCGCGCATCTGCTCGCCATCGGCCTCCCGCTGGACCCAAAGACGTTGACGATGGAGGCCAGCAGCCTGAGCCCCTTGAGCAGGACGCCCGCGTGGTTGATGTAGTCGAGAACATGCTTGACCAGCCGCTGCACGATCATATCCTCCCCCGGCCTCGCCACCTGGGTGCTGCGCGCTCTGGAGGCTGTGGGCGCGTCCTCGTCGCTGGTTTGATCCTCTTGCGGGGCCTGATCCCGCTCTGGCGCGAACCACTCTTGGGCCCCGTACAGCCTGGTGGGACCGTTTTCCACCACCAACATCACCATAAGTTGGAGGAGGAGGAGGAGGAGGAGGAGGAGGAGGAGGAGGAGGAGGAGGAGGAGGGGAGGGAGGACCCCCTCCTCCTTCAGCTTATGGTGGTGGTGGTGGTGGAAAACAAGCCCATCACAACCCGTCGGGCTCCAGCATGAGCTCCTCGAGGCGGGACATGTAGGCGAGCACCTGCAGCTTGTGGAGGGCCCTCCGACTGCGCAGCATCACCCGCATGTCCTTCCCGGCCGCCGCTGTGGTCAGACGGCTGCCGCCTGGGCCAGCGTGGATATCGGACTCCATCCCGCGGAAGTGGAGCTCCTGCATGGTGGTGGTCGCCTCCAGGTTGGCCTGCTTCGCAAACTTCAGCGCGTAGACCTTTGCCCTCATGAGGGCCGTGCCCGACATCCTCTTCGCGACAGCCCTGTCGCCAGTGCCCACCATCTTCTTCGCGGCTGGCCCTGACGACCGCTTCGCCGATGCCGTGAACTTGGCCTGCAGCACCTTGTAGCCCTCGCCACGCAGAGCTTTCGCCGTGCCGCTCAGGATGCCCACGCGGCGCAGCGCTGCTCCAAGCACGGTCTCCGCGTCCTCCTCCCGTGCCATTAGCGCGTGGTGAAGCGCAAGGGGCCCTCCCTGCACTTCTGCAGAGCCCGGGGACATGGCCTTCCGGAGCTTACAGACCCTCTGGTCCATAATGATCGCGCCTGGCAGCGAGAGGTGATCGGAGTTCAGGGCCTGCTTGCAGGCCTGGCACCACCTCAGCGATGATACAACAGGGTGTCACGCGAGGGAGCATAGCTATCTTTCACGGTGGCTGGCGCAGGCCACCAGCGCGGCGCAACTCAAGCGAAAGAGGGCGCTTGCGCGCGACCTTGCGCGGGCAGCTTGCGCACAAACATCCGCGCAGCCGGCCACACGTTTTCTTTCCGTTGTGCGCCTGGCGGTGTCGTAGTCGGGGCCGAGGACGTAGTTCAGCTCCTCAGAGGCCCGCTCCCCATCCTGGCTGGCCCACGGACAGGTGCTGATCTGGACTGCCCGATGAGACAAGACAACAGACTATACTAACATTGACTTTTGAAGATGTCCGCGGACTTCTTGAATCCGCGGGGGGCCCAGCGCCGATCCGAGAAATCCGTGCGAAACTCCCAGAAGTTTCTGCTTAGCACGGTGTCCCTCTTTCGAGAAACGCCCCACAAGTGTGAACGGCCCCGCGAGATCGGGCCCTGATCCAAGGATCAGGGCTCTCTAAGCCGAGCTCCGCCCACACCACCAGCGGCGGCACCGCGCTCCTGCGCGGCATCATCCTCCAGTCGTCGATTTCCTGGATTGCCTCGTGCACCGGAACCATGCGGTCCTTGCCGTACTTCACGTCAAGCCCAGTGCCTGCCAGCGCCACCTGCGCCCACTCAGGGTCCAGCCTGGGAACATCTATACATATATATATATGTATATATATATATATATACATATAGAGAGATACATACATACATACGTACACACATACATACACACATACATAAATACGTACAGACATACATGCATACATACATGCGCACACATACATACATACATGCATGCCTACGTACGTACGTACGTACATACATACATACATACAACAAACATTCACACATGCAGACGTGCGTACATACTTACTTACACACATACAAAACATAAACACAAAGCACACCCTTAAACACATTTACATCTGCACAGCATGTATGGGGAAGAGGTGAACGCACATTATCATAGGGTGTACCGTATCATAACACGTCATAGCATGCCCACTCATATCAGACCACACCATGCCATACCACATCGCATCACATGACAGCAAACCATGCCATATCAAAACATTCCATACACGTATCTGTGTACTTACGTGTCGGTGTAGTAATGGCGCTCTCCCACCCCACACACATGCTAAATCGCATGCTTTTTGTTTGACGCTTTTGCACATCGATGACACGTTCTGCGTCGAGCCTGAAAGGCCCACTTTGGGCATGCGGCTCCTCCTGCTCCACGAGCAGCGCGCCCTCCCCGCTGAGCACCGCAGCGGCGGCGCACAGCCCCGCGCCCGGGGACGTGAAGGACAGGAAGGCCACGCGAGGCTTGGCTTGGGTTGGCCTTGCCTCGAGGGTGCACTGAAATCCACAACCCCCTCGCGTCGTTAACAAAAAACGCGACGGGCTGTGCTTTGACATGTTCGTCCTCTCGGGGCCGTCGCCAGGCCCCTGGACAGTAAAAGAACGACCTGGGATGCAACACCGATCCTCGGTCCCAGGAAGAAGGCCACTCGAGGCCTGGCTTGGGTTGGCCTTGCCTGGACGGTGGACCGAAATAGATACCCAAAGCCTGAAGATACGGGTATCTATTTCAGTCCACCCTCCCGGCCGAGACCAAGAATAAACGTCGGGATTGAAAACGCGACATCCTCGAACTTCAAGGATCTGACCTTTCCACGACCTTCTTCGCACTTCGAATCGAAGCTCGAAGAAAGTCGTGGAATGCCCTCGGGATTGGACACGTAATACCCTCATCGGCTACACGCAAGAGTGACCCTGGGCAAAAGCGCCCTTTGGTGCGCGGCTTTGTGAGGGCCGCAGGGGAACCAAACACAGCCGCACAAGACGCTACTATCGTACCGCACTCGGCGATCGGGGGGCCCCAGTGGGCGCGCACCAAAGGTCGCTCCGGCGAAGGGTCACTTTTACGTGTAGTCGACCTCAAATTTCGATCGAAGTTCGAGGATACTACGTGTCAAATCCAGGCGTTGTGTGTGTTTCCTAGTCTCGACCAGTGAGGGGCCAGCCTTCGGGCCCCGAGGCCACAGCGGGATATGGGACGAAGGACTACCCCTGGGGACGGGGTCGGGACCTCCGGGATCGCGGATTGAAGACATCGAAGGGGCCCAGGCACACACACAAATAAGTACGCACAAATTTCAAGATGTCCCATATGTGTTCCATAATTTCTGGGTTCCGTCTTCTCCCCCCCACTTTCCATATGTTGCCATCTTGTCCTGGGTGTCAACGATGAATTGTATATGTTTGGTATGCCCCCTCCTGAAAATAGAATAGGAAGATGTCTGGGCACGGTAATGAAGCACGTCGGATAAGACGCCCGCTTGGCTGCAGGTGCCCCACCCCGAAATTGACTATCCCCGATGGCCCTGGGTGGCCCACAGAAGCCCTGGGGCACCCTGGGACCCTCAAAGATCGACGAGGCATGTGCACGCAGACTGCTCGTGGCAAGAATTACTCTCGGACGTGTCTACCGTAGGAAGCAAAAAAAGATAGCCACCCTCAGAACAAGCACCCGTGCAAGCGAAGCCCTTCAGCACACGAGCCCGAGTGAGGAGCCAAACGGCAGGGCTGTGAAGTGAACGACGAGTATGGGGGGTCGGGATCTTCCCCCTCCCTCGGGCACAAGAGAACACACATCGCTCAAGCATAACCGAACGGAGGTCCGCGGGGATTCCTGGATCGACGCCCGGACTCCCGTGGCGGCGCCTCCAGCACCGCCCCTGGCGTTTTCCGCGCGCCATGGATGCAGCCCAGGCGCCGATCCAAGAAACCCAGGCGGACATCCGAAAGTCTATGCTCGTGCAGCTCTTCCCCTAGGAAGCACGCATCAGACAACAGCCTTGTTCGCGCGCCAAGCACTAACACTGACACTACCTTGCCATATATCTGGGCGGTGCCCACCTATTTCAATACCACGCGTGCGTTCAACAAACGGGTGTCGGTGTCTTCCTTGACCTCCTGGCGCCTCCTTCTCCTCCTTCGGGAAAGCTATCAGGATCTGCCCCGGGTTCAGGCGCAGCACCTTCGTGGCGAGGCGCTGGATCAGCAGAGCCTTGCTCGGCTTCGAGCACGACAACGACGAGGTGACCTGGAGCACCGTGCTCCCCCCTGGGACGGCCGCCGCGCCGGCGACGTCGCCGGGCCGCGGTTCGATGCTCCCGCAGGACAGGCAGACAGCGCAGCAGGGAGCGTCCCACACGAAGCGCAGCATGGACCGCTCCTGGAGCGAGGGAAACCTGCACAAACTTTTTCGTCGGCGGCAGGGCAGAGGTTGCTGCGCCAGCGGCCAGGCTAAACGGGGCTACCGAAGAGCGAATTGCCCAGCGTGCACGAGGGGAGACCTGAACAAACACATGCACTGCCAGAGGCCCGCGCGGATCTCTTGGATCGGCGCCTGGCCCCCCCACGGGGGGCCAGGGCCCCCAATCCTGGGGAGCCGTATACCGATGCCGTTCACTGGACATCGAAAGGGGTGCGTTCTGACAAGAGAGTCTCGAGGCGAAAATGCAACCGCTGCGACACGGGAAGGCAATGGGGGTATCGGTACCATCTCCTTCTCTGAGATCAGGGCGCACTTCCGAAAGCTTGTTGTGCTTATGCGCCGGGTGTTGCTAGAAGTGCCTCTGGCCCAAGGTAATGTCCAAAGCCGGTTAAAAAATTATGACCCCCCCTCCCCCCGAGATCCCGACTGCCATTAATTCGCATCCGAATAACTATTTGTTATCTGTCCCCCCTGGAATATACCTCGGTACCAGGGAGAATGCCGATGTGACATTCTAGCTTGGTGTAGCCCCTTATGTCTAGCCTGGAGGGCGCGCCAGCCCTCGTTGTAACCTGGTGTAGCCCCGTTTGCGTGGCCCAGAGGGGGGACGGCCTTCATCGTATCCTGGCGTAGCCCTGCAAATTTGGCCCATAGGGCGGTGCGACCTTCGCTGTAACCTGGTGTAGCCTTGGTGCGGCCTCGAACTGAGCGGCTTGCTGAGGGCCTTTCTGGCCTGGAGGGCGATCCGGCCTTCGTCGTAACCTGGTCTAGCCCCTCTCCTGTCCTGTTGCAAAATATTTTCATCACGTGTCGCCGGTCTGATGAGGCCATCTTGAGCCAACTTGGACCATGTTGCGCCATCTTGGAGGCCATCTTAAAGCACTTGTGGCCCTCTCGGCACCAGAGGGCGTGCGCAAGGGATGGTCCCCAAGTGCGGTCTCTTTCCACGCCAGGCTCGGGCGTGTCAGGTGTGGCTTGTTCGCAACCCAGACAGGGTGCGCGGTGCGCAGGGAGTGGTCCCTGAGCGCGGTCTCTATCCACGTTGGGGTCGCAGGGCTTGGCAGGCGTGGCCTGACGCCAAGAGGGGGTGCGCAGGAATCTGCCCCTGCACGCAGGGCGCCAGGGAGGCCGCGGGGACGTCTCCAGCGATCCAGTTTGCCCCGCCTCCCTTTTGTGTTCTATAGGCGCACTACAGCGCTGGAGAAAACCATGCTTATTGTCTCCCAACATAATGTTTAAAACAGTTTTTAGACATTACCCCCCGGGTTCTCGGGGTGGCCCAGGCGGCCTCCAGGGCACCCCTCACGAGGCCCAGAGGACCCCAGGAACTCCAAAATGGAGCGAAAAGCTGGGGGCACCTGGGCCAGGGGCACTTCTAGCAACACCCGGCAATGCAATTTTTCTTGACGGCCAGCCCAGGGGGAAACGAGAGGGGGCAGCCCTTCTCGGAAGGCTCGGCAGTCCTCCGGCCACGCCTTCCGAGAAGTCTTCTCAGCCTCCCCCGAAGACACAGAAAACTTCTCAGAAAGCCGGAAGGCTACTGAGAAGTCCCGCCTCCCTCTGGAAGGGCCTCCTCCTTCTCGCTTCCCGCCCTCGCTCGCCGCTGCTGTTCCTCTTCTTGACAGTCTGGAGCATACCCCTATCCCTACGATTGGCATCGCCTTACCTCGATGCCCATCTTGAGGACTCCCCGAGCTTCCGAGGGCGCGTCCCGAAGATTGTCGTCGCCATTTGGCTTGTCAATCTCAGGGATAGGGATAAGTTCGAGACTGGTTAACTCTGGATCGCTTAATAAATCGCCACCCCCTTGGAGTGCCCGGGGGGGTTGGCCGCGGCGCGTCCGCGGAGGTGCCATGGGGCGTCTGGGGTTCCTTCCCTTCCTCGCTGGGGCGCGGGGGTGGTGCCAAGGGGGGTTGGCCGCGCCGCGCTTCGACGTGTGTCACCATCGGGCTGATCAATAAGAAGTTCGGAGAATCTCGTAGCTCCAGGGGCACCACCACCAGCTCTGCACGACCGCAGCGCCGGCAGTGCGCCCTGTTTTGACGAGGTTCGGAGGCCCCTGGGGGGCTCTCTGGAAAACCCCCTCCCCCCCAACCCCCTTTGGAACCCTGCGGAATCTCGGGGATAGGGATGAGCTCGGGACTTGCTATCTCGCAGCTCCAGGGGCACCACCGCCAGCTCTGCACGACCGCAGCGCCGGCACTGCGCGGCGGGCGCCGCGGCCGGCGGCGCCGCCGCGGCCCGGGGGGCCAGTGCGCCACCGACTGCGTCGCGGACCGCGCCCCACGTGTCCGCGCGGAGCGGCGCGGCCTCATGCGCCAGACCCTGAGATCCCCTGAGATCCAGGCATCGCACACATATGTAGATCTACATATGTATATACGTCGATATATATATATATACACACATACATATATATATATATATATATACATATACACATCTACAGGGGCCTTGCCCGGGGGGGTCCCAGTTCGAGCCGGCGCCGAAGACGCTATGAAGACGCGATTCCCCCAAGGAGCTGCGGTGACGCCTCTATTCCGCTGACGCCTGGTGGAGCTCGTGACGCCCCTATTCGGCCTGAAGCCTGTATTCCGTTGACGCCCATTGAAGCTTGTGAAGCCTCTATTCGGGCTGAAGCCTCTATTCGGCCTGAAGCCTCTATTCAGCTCGTGACGCCTCTATTCGGCCTACGACTTGCGACGCACTGGTGGGGTAGCGACCCTGAACGCGCCTATTCGGCCTGACCCCTGTATTCCCCTGACGCCCATTGAAGCTCGTGAAGCCTCTATTTGGCCTGAAGCCTCTCTTCCCCTGGCGCCCAGTGAAGCTCGTGAAGCCTCTATTCGGCCTGAAGCCTCTATTCCCCTGACGCCAGGTGAAGCTCGTGAAGCCTCTATTCGGGCTGAAGCCTCTATTCCCGTGACGCCCATTGAAAATCGTGAAGCCTCTATTCGGTCTGAAGCCTCTATTCCCCCGACGCCCACTGAAGCTCGTGAATCCTCTATTCGACATGAAGCCTCTATTCCCCTGGCGCCCGGTGAAGCTCGTGAAGCCTCTATTCGGCCTGAAGCCTCTATTCCCCTGGCGCCCGGTGAAGCTCGTGAAACCTCTATTCGGCCTGAAGCTTTATTCCCCTGGCGCCCGGTGAAGCTCGTGAAGCCTCTATTCGGCCTGAAGCCTCTATTCCCCTGACGCCCGGTGAAGCTCGTGAAACCTCTATTCGGCCTGAATCCCGTGACGCCCGGTGAAGCTCGTGAAGCCTCTATTCGGCCTGAAGCCTCTATTCCCCCGACGCCCGGTGAAGCTCGTGAAGCCTCTATTCGGCCTGAAGCCTCTATTCCCTTGACGCCCGTTGAAGCTCGTGAAGCCTCTATTCGGCCTGAAGCCTCTATTCCCCTGGCGCCCGGTGAAGCTCGTGAAGCCTGTATTCGGCCTGAAGACTCTATTCCCCTGACGCCCGGTGAAGTTCGTGACGTTTCGAAGGGGTCGTGCCCCAGGGGAGGGAAAATCTATGATCAATTACGTAAAACGCGAAAGATTCGTGTACCTGGAAAGGGATCGTGCCCCATGAGAGGGCCATTCACGCTAAGGATTCGGCCCCCATGATACGACCACTTTATCAGCACGCACGTGAAGCACGAAAGATTCGCGCCCTAGGGGAGGGTCAATCTATAGGCACATACGTAAAACACTAAGACGATTGGTGTTCCAAGAGAAGGCCGATATATTGGCACATGCGTTAAACACAAAAGGTTTCGTGCCCCAGGGGAAGGCCAATCTATATGCACACACGTAAGACACAAAGGATTCGTGCTCTAGGAGAGAGCGAATCTACATGCACATGCGTAAACCCGAAAGGTTCGTGCCCCAGAAGGCAAATCCATAGGCGCATACGTACAACACGCAGGGCTCGTGCCCCAGGAGAAGGCAAACCTACAAGCAAACGCGAAAAACACGAGAGATTCGCGCCCCTGGAAAGGGCCAATCTAAAGGCATACGCGCGAAACACAAAGGACTCGTGCCCCAGGAGAGGGCCAACCTATACGTACATGTGTAAAACACAAAAGGGCTCGCGCCCCAGAAGAAGGCAAATCTCGAGGCATCACGTAACACGCTAAGGATTCGCGTTCCATGATACGGCCAATATATAAGCACGTACGTAAAACACTAAACATTCGTGGCCCAAGAGTAGGCTAATCTGTAGGCACATGCGTGAAACACCATGGACTCGCGCCCCAAGAGAAGGCCAATAGATTGGCACATACATTTAAAACAGCGGATTCACGCCCCAGGAGAAGGCCAAGACAGCTCCAGGAGGCACCAGGAGGGGGCCAAGACAGCCCCAGAAAGCACCAGGAGGCCCCAGGAAGCCCCAGTGAGCTCCAGGAGGCCCCAAGAGGCTCCAGGGGCTCACCGGGCTTTTTTTTTAATGGTTCTTTTAAAATGAACTTGGGGAGGGCTCTTGCCTATATCAGAGGGTACCGCACAGCAAAGGGGCATGTCTAGCACCAAGGATTCTTCTTTAATCAACTTGGCGAGGAGTCTTGCCTAGCATAGGGTGCCGCACAGCAAAAGGCATGTCTAGCGCCAGGGATTATGGTTTGATTCACTTGGGGAGGGGTCTTGCCTAGCAGAAGGTGCCGCGCAGCAAAGGGCCTCACCTTGGAGAGGGTGCCGCACAGCAAAGGGGCACATCTAGCATCAAGGATTCTTTTTTCATCAACTTGGGGAGGGGTCTTGAGTAGCAGAAGGTGCCGCACAACAGATGGGGCACACCAAGCACCATTGATTATTCTAAAATCAAATTGGGAAGGGCTCTTGCCTATCAGAGGGTGCCGCACAGCAAAGGGGCATGTCCAGCACCAAACATTCTTCTTTAATCAACTTGGCGAGGGGTCTTGCCTAGCAAAGGTGCCGCACAGCAAAAAGGCATGATTACCACCAGGGATTATGTTATAAATAAGTTGGGGAAGGGTCTTGCCTAGCAGAAGGTGCCGCGCAGCAAAGGGCCTCACCTTGGAAAGGGTACCGCACAGCAAAGGGGCACATCGAGCACCAAGGATTCTTTTTTCATCAACTTGGGGAGGGGTCTTGCCTAGCAGAAGGTGCCGTATAACAGATGGGGCACACCTAGCACCAAGGATTCTTCTATAAACATCGACTTGGGGAGGGCCATTGCCTAACAAAGGGTGCCGCACAGCAGATGGGGCACGTCTAGCACCAAGGATTCTGTTTAAGTCAACTTGGGGAGGGGGCTTGCCTAGCAGAAGGTGCCATTCAGCAGATGGGGCACGTTAAGCATCAAGGATTTTTGGTAAATTCCAATTTGGGGAGGGCCATTGCCCAACAAAGGGTGCCACACAGCAGATGGGGCACGTCTAGGCTTCTTTTTAAATCAACTTGGAGAGGGGTCTTTACTAGCTAAAGGTGCCGCGCAGCAGATGGGGCACGTCTAGCACCAAGGATTCTTTTTAAAGCAACTTGGGGAGGGCCATTGCCGACCAGAAGGTGCCACACAGCAGATGGGGCACGTCTAGCACCAAGGATTCATCTTTAATCAACTTGGGGGTGGGTCTTGCCTAGCAGAGGGTGCCGCACAGCAAAGGGGCACATCTAGCACCAAGGATTCCTTTTTTTCATCAACTTGGGGAGGGGTCTTGCCAAGCAGAGGGCGCCGCGCAGCACATGGGGCACGTCTAACATCAAGGGTTCGTTTTATCCACTTGGGGAGGGGTCCTGCCTAGCAGAGGGTGCCGCACAGCAGACGGGGCACGTCAAGCACTAAATATTCTCTTTTAATCAACTTGGGGAGGGGTCCGTCCTCGGGTAGGGGTCTTGCCCAGAGAGGGTGTTGCACAGCAGATGGGGCATGTCTAGCGATTCTTTTTAAATCAGCTTGGGGAGGGGTCTTGCCGAGCAGAGGGTGTCGCACACCAGATGGGGCACGCTTTGTGTTAGGCACGGATGGCACTTTCAAATTACACTTGGGAGGGGAGCACGTTGAATGCGGGGCATGGTGAACAGAAGGCACTTTCACAAAGAATAGCGTCTTCAGCGGAAATAGCCCCTTCACTGGGAATAGAGCGTCTTCACCGGGAATATAGCGACTTCAACGGGAATAGCGTCTTCACCGGGATCGAATAGCGTCTTCACCCGGAATAGCGTCTTCACCGTCTTCACCGGGAATAGCGTCTTTACCGGGAATAGCGTCTTCACCTAAAATAGCGTCTTCACCCGGAATAGGCTTCACCGGCAGCAGCGTCTTCACCGGGAATAGCGTCTTCACCGAGAGTAGCGTCTTCACCCGGAATAGCGTCTTCACCCGGAATAGCGTCTTCACCTAAAATAGCGCCTTCACAGCGAATAGCGTCTTCACCCGGAATAGCGCTTACAGAGAGAATAGATAAGGGACGTGCTGACTGCAGATGTCCGCAGAACGCGTCTTCAGCGGGAATAGCGTCTTCACCCGGAATAGCGTCTTCAACCCGGACTAGCGTCTTCACCGTCTTCACCGGGAATAGCGTCTTCACCCGGAGTAGCGTCTTCACCCGGAATAGCGTCTTCACCGTCTTCACCGGGAATAGCGCCTTCACCGGGAATAGCGTCTTCACAAGGACGCGTCGTTACAGGGAATAGCGTCTTCAAGTAGCGTCTTCGGCGCCGGCGCGAACTGGGAACCCCCGTTGCAGGGGCAATGTACATCTATATATATATATATATAGATATATATAAATATACACATAAATACATCGGAGGTCAGAGGGTGAGATCGAAGTGGAACGGAGAGCCCCCCTACCGGGAAATCGGTTTCGGTTTCGTGTTCGTGCGTGCCGTGCGTGCGGGCGAGGCGAAGCTGCGTGGGCGGGCGAAAAATAAGTCTCCTGTAGCTGAGGCGCGGCCGGACCAAAAGTCTCCCTTCCGGCAACCGGTGCCCCGCGGTGTCCCGCCGGTGTCCCGCTCGGGGGCCGGTGGCGCGCGGTGTCCCGCCGGTGTCCCGCCGGTGTCCCGTCGGTGTCCCGATGATGATGATGTTGATGATGATGATGATCTTGATGATGTTGACGATGATCATGATGACGATGATGATGATGATGATGATGGTGATGGAAGTGATGATGATGGTGTCCCGATGATGATGATGATAATGATGATGATGATGATGATGATGATGATGATGATGAAGATGATGATGATGATGATGTTGACGATGATGATAACGATGATGATGATGGTGATGGTGGTGATGATAATGGTGCCCAGATGGTGACGATGTTGATGATGATGACATTGATTGATGACGATGAGTTGATGGTGTCTCGATGATGATGATTATGATAATGATGATGATGACGATGATGGCGTCCCGATGATGATGGTGTTGATGATGAGGATGATGATGAGGTAACGATGATGAGTTTGGTGATGGTGGCCCAATGAGTGTGATGATGATGCTGATGTTGATGATGATGGTGTCCCGGTGATGTTGATGATGATGATGGTGATGATGATGATGATGGTGACGATGATGGTGGTGTTCCGACGATGATGGTGTTGATGATGATGTTGCTAATGATGATGATGATGATGATGATGATGATGGTGATGATGATGATGGTGTCCCGATGATGATTTTGTTGTTCATGATCATGATGCTGAGATGATGATGATGATGGTGGTGTTCCGATGATGATGATGATGATGATGATGATGGTGCCCCGATGGTGATGATGGTGACGATGATGGTGTCCCGATGATGATGATGATGGTGATGATGATGATGTTGATGATGATGGTGATGAGATGATGATGATGATGATGATGATGATGATGCTGATGCTGATGATGATGATGATGATGGTGTCCCGATGATGCTGATGATGATGTTGATGACGTTGATGACGATGATGTTGATGATGACATTTATTGTGATATCGATTGTGGTATCGATAGTGAGCTCGAAAGTTAGACCAAATGTGAGATCGATTGTGAGATCGATAATGAGATCGATAGTGGGATCGATAGTGAGATCGATAGTCAGATCGATTGTGAGATCGATCGAATGAAATTGATCGAGTGAGATCGATTGTCAGATCGATCGAGTGAGATCGATCGAGCGAGACCGATAGTGAGATCGATAGTGAGATCGATCGATTGAGACGTTGGTTCCTCCCCCCCCAAAACCTCCTTATCACCCAAAGGGTGGTCGTATAGGTAGATGTATATATGTGTATATTTATATATACACGCATTCAACCATAGGTAAGGACGCGCGAGATGGATGCACCGGCCTTGGCAGGCCATGTCGACACTCTGCGAGCGGGGCGCGGAGAGCGAAAGCGGCCAAGGATGGGCCGAAGGGGAAGGACGCAAGGGTCACCTTGGGAAGTCGCTCGTCAATACTGTCGGGCTGAATGCACAGTTCCCAGACCCCGTCGAATCATGAAAGAATCACGACGGTTGGTATTTTCCCTATTGTCGGCCTTCGGGGGCCCTCGCCAGGCCTCGGGACCGTCAAATAACAACTCTTATTGAAAACTAGTCCCTGGGAATGGGTCGAGACCTCTAGGAGTCGACGTTATGAAGAAAAACATGGCGTCGGGGGTCTGGGTTGGGGGTTCTTGCTTCTAGCGTGTCGCGGCGGCAGCCCTGGCGACACACTATATGCCTTGCAAGCGGATGGCGTGGCGCTCCGTTCCGCGGGGCGGGACGCTTCGAAAAGCACGGGACGTTGACGCTTGGGGACTGGGACGTGGTCAGCATGTCGCGCCGAAGCGTGCACGTGAGCCAAAGCCGGCGGCGCGACACACTGAGCCAAAATCCTGACCGTGAATTTCCCACCGGCGTTCTCGGCCGGATTTCTGGCCACTGGACCCTCCGATATCGACGCGGCCCAGGAAGTACCGCAGAAAGATGGGGTCGAGGTTGGCGGCGCGCACAAGGGGGTAGGGGGAGGGGGGGAAGGCTTCTTAGATTCTTAGACGGAGGCTGCTTCTTAGAAGGCGCCCGCCCTACATCTACTACAGAGAAGGCCGGCGCCTTCTAAAGCAGGGGTGCTTCTAATTGGCCTTCCCCCCCTTCCCCACCCACCCCTTCGCGTGGCCGACCAGGTAAGGCTCCGCTGAAAATGCCTCATTATGCTTGAACTGTTCACGGCGACGGCCTGCTGACGTCGCGAACAATGATGCAAAACCGTCCTACAAATCACAACATGAGCCCTGAGCCCCGTCTTTCCGCGAGGGCGCACCGGGGGACCCGACGCCCAGCCTAAAACACGCCAGGCGCGAAGGTTTGTTTTACCATGCCGCAGAAATAGATGGGGCCCAGGGCTCCGCCAGTGATTCCGCATCATGGTTCGTTTGCTCGCGGCGTCGGTTCTCTGACGCCGTGGAAAGATGCAGCATCGTCGGGAATCGCGCCTGGAGCCTGAGCCCCACTTCTCTGTGGCACAGCTACCCCGAGCCGGACTGGTCCGCGAGGACGCCCCGGGAGCCCGAAGCCCGGCCGAGAAGGCGCCAGGTGCGAACAGTCGGCGGCGAGCGAGGGAGGGAAAGTGAGAATGATGGGCAAACATTCCACCACCACTACCTTATGTAGGACGGGGGAGAAGGGAGGATGAAGAGGTCCTCCTTCTCCTCCTCCCCCTCCACCTCCTCCTCCTCCTCCTCCTCCTCCTCCTCCTCCTCCTCCTCCTCCTCCTCCTCTTCCTCCTCCAACTCCCACCTATGGTCGTGGTGGTGGAAAATGGGCCCATCAGAGAAGGAGGGGCTTCTCAGAAGCCCTGACGCCATCTGAACAGTTTCCTGCGTCGCCTTCGGGGACGGCCCAGAAAACTTCACAAGAGGCCGGGGGACTTCCGAGCCTTCTGGGGAGGCCCGCCCCCTCTCACTTCCCCCCCTGGGCTCGCCGCCGAGACAGGCCCCGGTCTCAGGGGACGCCGCTCCGCCTGGCTGGCGCTGTCCACCAGCGTGGCGCGCGGGGCCCCGCGAGCGCTGCCAGCCTCTCGGGTGACTCCATCTGAGCACCTCGCTGGCCCTGGCCGGGCCCATGCCGAGCCCAGGAGCGGCGCGCAGGGCCTCCAACGCCTAGCCAGGAAGGCGTATATGCACCATCCTGGGCTGGGGCTGGGCCCAGCCAGTGACGGCGAGGTGGTCAGCCAACGCCCTCCTGGCCCAGACCTCCAACACCGTGTCTGTTTCCTCACGGCGTACGTGGCCCCCACCAGAGGTCTGTCCGCGCGTCCTCCTAGCCACTCCCGACGCCGTGCTGACTTCCTCACGACGCACGTGTCCTCCCCAGAGGTCTGTCCCTGCGTCCTCATGGCCCAGACCCTCGACGCCGTGATCTTTTCCTCACAACGCACGTGATCCCCCCTGAGGTCTGTCCCAACGTCCTCCTGGCACAAACCCCTGACGACGTGTCTGTTTCTCACGACGCACGTGATCCCCCCTAGAGGACCACCAACGCCGTGTTTGTTTGCCACGACGCACGTGATCCCCCCAAAAGGTCTGTCCCAATGTCATCCTGGCACAAACCCCTGACGCCGTGTCTTTTCCTCACGACGTACGTGGCCCCCACCAGAGGTCTGTCCGCGCGTCCTCCTAGCCACTCCCGACGCCGTGCTGACTTCCTCACGACGCACGTGTCCTCCCCAGAGGTCTGTCCCTGCGTCCTCATGGCCCAGACCCCCGACGCCGTGATCTTTTCCTCACAACGCACGTGATCCCCCCTGAGGTCTGTCCCAACGTCCTCCTGGCACAAACCCCTGACGACGTGTCTGTTTCTCACGACGCACGTGATCCCCCCTAGAGGACCACCAACGCCGTGTTTGTTTGCCACGACGCACGTGATCCCCCCAAAAGGTCTGTCCCAATGTCATCCTGGCACAAACCCCTGACGCCGTGTCTTTTCCTCACGACGTACGTGGCCCCCACCAGAGGTCTGTCCGCGCGTCTTCTTAGCCACTCTCGACGCCGTGCTGACTTCCTCACGACGCACGTGTCCTCCCCAGAGGTCTGTCCCTGCGTCCTCATGGCCCAAACCCCCGACGCCGTGATCTTTTCCTCACAACGCACGTGATCCCCCTGAGGTCTGTCCCAACGTCCTCCTGGCACAAACCCCTGACGACGTGTCTGTTTCTCACGACGCACGTGATCCCCCCTAGAGGACCACCAACGCCGTGTTTGTTTGCCACGACGCACGTGATCCCCCCAAAAGGTCTGTCCCAATGTCATCCTGGCACAAACCCCTGACGCCGTGTCTTTTCCTCACGACGTACGTGGCCCCCACCAGAGGTCTGTCCGCGCGTCCTCCTAGCTACTCCCGACGCCGTGCTGACTTCCTCACGACGCACGTGTCCTCCCCAGAGGTCTGTCGCTGCGTCCTCATGGCCCAGACCCCCGACGCCGTGATCTTTTCCTCACAACGCACGTGATTTTCCCTGAGGTCTGTCCCAACGTCCTCCTGGCACAAACCCCTGGCGACGTGTCTGTTTCTCACGACGCACGTGATCCCCCCTAGAGGACCACCAACGCCGTGTTTGTTTGCCACGACGCACGTGATCCCCCCAAAAGGTCTGTCACAATGTCCTCCTGGCACAAACCCCTGACGCCGTGTCTTTTCCTCACGACGTACGTGGCCCCCACCAGAGGTCTGTCCGCGCGTCCTCCTAGCCACTCCCGACGCCGTGCTGACTTCCTCACGACGCACGTGTCCTCCCCAGAGGTCTGTCTGTCCCTGCGTCCTCATGGCCCAGACCCCCGACGCCGTGATCTTTTCCTCACAACGCACGTGATCCCCCCTGAGGTCTGTCCCAACGTCCTCCTGGCACAAACCCCTGACGACGTGTCTGTTTCTCACGACGCACGTGATCCCCCCTAGAGGACCACCAACGCCGTGTTTGTTTGCCACGACGCACGTGATCCCCCCAAAAGGTCTGTCACAATGTCCTCCTGGCACAAACCCCTGACGCCGTGTCTTTTCCTCACGACGTACGTGGCCCCCACCAGAGGTCTGTCCGCGCGTCCTCCTAGCCACTCCCGACGCCGTGCTGACTTCCTCACGACGCACGTGTCCTCCCCAGAGGTCTGTCCCTGCGTCCTCATGGCCCAGACCCCCGACGCCGTGATCTTTTCCTCACAACGCACGTGATCCCCCCTGAGGTCTGTCCCATGTCCTCCTGGCACAAACCCCTGACGACGTGTCTGTTTCTCACGACGCACGTGATCCCCCCTAGAGGACCACCAACGCCGTGTTTGTTTGCCACGACGCACGTGATCCCCCCAAAAGGTCTGTCACAATGTCCTCCTGGCACAAACCCCTGACGCCGTGTCTTTTCCTCACGACGCACGTGGCCTCCCTAGAGGTCTGCCCCAATGTCCTCTTGGCCCGGACCCCCGACACCGTGTCGTTTCCTCACGACGCACGTGGCCTCCCCAGAGGTCTGCCCCAACGTCCTCCCGGCCCAGACCCCGACGTCGTTTTTTTGCTGTTCAGGACGCACGTGACCCTGCTTAAGGTCTGTCCCAACGTCCTCCTGGCCCAGACCCCCGACGCCGTCTCCTTTCCTCACGACGCACGTGGCCCCCCCAGAGGTCTGTCCCAACGTCCTCCTGGCCCAGCCCTCCTGACGCCGCATCTCTTCCTCACGACGCACGTGCCAGCCCCCCCCCCCCTCAGAATGCTGTCCCAACCTCCTCCTGGCCCAGACCACCAACGCCGTGATCTCTTCCTCACAAAGCACGTGACCCCCAAAGAGATCAGTCCTATTATCCTCCTGGCCCAGGCCCCCGACGCCGTGCCTTTCCATCACGACGCACGGTGGACCCCCCCCAAAGTACTGTCTCAACGCCCTCCTGGCCCAGACCTCCGACGCCATTTTTTTCTCACGATGCACGTGGCCCCACCAGAGATCTGTCCCAACGTCCTCCTGGCCCAGACCGCTGTGTTTTTCTCACGACGCACGCGGCCCCCCCCCGAGAGCTGTCCCAAGGGCATCCTGGCTCACGACGCACGACGCACGTGACCGCTCCAGAGGTCTGCCCCAACGTCATCCCGACCCAGACCACCGACGCTGCGTTGTGTTATCACGACGCACGCGGACCCCACCAGAAGGCTGTCCCAACGCCATCCTGGCCCAGACCCCCGACGCCGGGTGTGTGTTTTTTTTTCTAGGCGACGCACGTGGCCCCCCCAGAGGTCTGTCCCAGCGCCCTCCTGGCCTAGACCACCACCGTGATCTCTTTCTCACGACGCACGTGGACCCCCCAGAGGGCTGTCCCAACGCCGTCCTGGCCCAGACCCCCGAACGCCGTGCTTGTTCCCCACGACGTACGTTGCCCCCGCCCAGAGGTCTGTCCCAATGTCCTCCTGGCCCAGGCCCCCGACGCAGTGCCTTTTCCGACGCACGTGCCCCCCCAAAAGGTCTGCCCAAACGTCCTCTCGGCCCAGACCCCCGACGTCGTTTTTTTTCACGACGCACGTGGCACCCCCAGAGGTCTTGCAGGCTGCTGCTGACCCGGGCCCATGCAGACCCGGATCAGTCAGTCTCTGCAAGGTCCTGCAAGATCCTGCAGGACCCTGCACGCAAGCCCGGGTCAATGCACCCTGGCACTGCGGGATCCTGCAAGATCTGGCGCTCTGGCTGACCCCCGTCTGCATTGACCCATGTTTCAAGGATCTCGCGTCTGGACCGTTTCCCCAGGACCAGCTTTTCGTCCCGAGCTGTTTCTTGAAGGCCCTGGGGCTCAGAGAGGGACCCAGGAGGCCGAACGCGCCCAGCTCCGACGTTGAGAGAAAATTGCAGCATCGCGAAAATCACGACTGGAGCCCTAGACCCCATGTTTCGGCGGTGTTTCTCGACCCGGATCGATCTGAGATGGCCCTGGAGCCCGACACTAGGCGAAAAGGCACGGTGTGAAAACGTTGCAGCGTTCGGATCTCATGGAACGTTCCAAGGCTTCCCGCCGCGACTTCCCTGGGACGCACAGGGACATACTAATACTAGATGTCCTCCTTGGAGGCGCGTGTCCGACCAGAACATATGGTATACCGATCCTGTAGTCTACCGTTTCCCGAACGGTGTGGCCAGAAAGCGCCCGCCACGCCGCATATACTACAAGATTTTCCGGTGCGCGCGTCGCCCCTGGGGGGGCGACGCACATATAGTATATGTATTTTGGGGTGACGCCGATTCCCCGCAACGCGAAGGGAGCCCGGGACAGCCTTGGCCTGGCGGCGAGGGGACAGCAGCGACGGCGCGCCGCGGTCCTGACTTGGGGCAGCGATAGGGGGGGCCTCCTGGGCGCAGACGGCCTCTCCGGCCTTGACCCATGAGCGTGCCTAGTACTCCTCCTCCTCCTCCTCCTCCTCCTCCTCCTCCTCCTCCTCCTTCTCCTCCCTCCTCCTCCCTCCTCCTCCTCCTCCTCCTCCTCCTCCTCCTCCTCCTCCTCCTCCTCCTCCTCCTCCTCCTCTACCCCTTTTCTGTCATGAAAAACTTCTCCCGGTGGCACCCCGAGGCCAGATGTGAGGGTGTGCTGGGCGTTTCGCCTGAGACTTCCTCATCACTTATGACCCTGAAGCTCAAACATTGAGAGCAGCTTCACAGATGGAGGGCGCGTCGTTTTCAAAATGTGGCTCTCGCCTTAGCGCCGCGCACATTCGTTACACACAAATGTAAGAGCTTCACGGATTGAGGGCGGGCCGTTTTCAAAATGTGGTTTGCGCCTTCGCGCCGCGCACATTCGTTTTAAAAGATTACGAACGAACAGTCTGAGAAAGACAACGATCGCGCTTGTGGGGGGGAAGGTGTGTTGGGAAGATGCAGGGCACGACTGTGCAATAAGCACCTCCAACATGCGCGACGATCGGGACGATCAGATCATGCCTCCCGGCCCCATCCTCTCGACCCGACGGTTGCTTTTCTGACAGTCATCGCCCCGCCCTCCCTTTGAAGGGGCCCTGGGACACACAAGTAAATAGACACAAATTCGCCGGCCCAACGGGCCATGCAGAGGCGTGCTAAGATCTCCGGTAACTACTTAACAATAGTTCTAGTTCGCGCGCGCGGGGCGGCCCCTGGGGGGCCCCAGACGAAAAGTACCCCGGCCGATCCCCGGCTGACCCCTGGGCGATCCCCAGGGGGGAGGCTATTTTTCGCCACCCCTTACGAGGATCGTGGCCTCCGAGGGGGGGGCTGCCAACGACTAACCCCATGCCGCCCCAAGGGGCCACCAAGAGCCCCCCAAGAGGCCCCAGGGGAGCCCAATACGCCGCCAAGGAGCCCCAAGACGCTCCCAAGAAGCCCCCAAGAAGCCCCCAAAACGGCCCCAAGAGGCCCCAAATAGCGCTCCAGGGCAGGCGGAATGAGCGAAGCGATTAAATAACAGGATTCACCATATATTCCTATACTTTGTGGGTTTTTGTCTTCCCCCCCACTTCCCATGTGTTCGCATATTTTCCTGGGGATCGACGATTGATTGTGTCTGTGCTTTTTCGCCTCCTGACCCTTGGCCGCCCCCGAACGTCGCCCCCCCGGAGCTCCGTGCCCCACTCGGCGAGGGGCAGCCCGTGCGCCTCGGCGGCCGCCCGGAGCGGCACCAGGTCGCCCACCTGCGCCGCGAGCAGCCGCGCGAGCGCTGCCCGCAGCACCTCCTCGAGCGCGCCGTCGCTGGGGACCGCGCCGCCGGGGGGGCCGGGCGGCACGCCGTCCTTCGACCGCTCGGGTGGGGGATCGACCACAGGATCGGTGTGGATGCGCGCCCAGGAAAAGGTGTCTTCGTCGAAAGTACGAAACGATACCGCCAGTCTTCGCGTAGACCTACGGGGCGCTCTACGTATTCATGCGTAGATCGACGGCCTGGTCACTTATGGTGTAAATCAGTCCTGTGGACGATCCCCTGCTCGAGCCGCGAGACGGGCGCAAGGTCTTTGGAATGCATTCATGCGGGGACAGCAAGCGACCACGGCCATATCGAGGGCCCACCCTGGAGGGCAGCTTGCGCATGCGAGTGCTCGTCAGGACACCGAAACCAGCTCAGTGCTGGTTGTGGTCCATCTGGGCGTCCTGGACAGCCAAATCGACCACAATCACAATCAAAGTGTTCAAGTCCAAGTCGGCGGGTTCTCCTCCGAAGCGCACTCCAGAAAATGTCACTTAGTTGAGGTTGTGGTTCTTCGATGTCCCCGCGATTCAAGAACCGCTCTACATGCAAATCCCAGCCTTCATGCAGTTGCGGAGTCATGGGGCAGTTTCTCGCCCGAGTCTCTGTCTCCTGTTCTGCAACCTGTTTCGGGGTGCAGCCTGAGTCCGCCAAGGACGGTGGCGCTACTGGACTGCACCCAATGTTTTTGAGAAATGTCCGATCCTCCCTCGCGCCCGGAACCGTCATCACGACCGACGGTTCCTTCGCTGCTGGCTTCGGCCTCTGGGGGCCCTCGCCGTGCCCAAAGGGCCGCCCGACAAAACGGCCCGCGGTACGAAGAGCTGGCCCAGGGGGGGGGGAAGGGGTCGCGGGACCTCCATCATCACACAACATGGGGGTCCACGCCGGGAGCCCCAAACACAAGAAAACACCACGAGAGACGCCCGGGACTCCTCCTCCGCCGGCGTCCACCGCCACCGCGGCTCCCTGGGGGGCGCCGCCGCGGACGTCGCCGCCGGGCCCTCCGCCACGCTCGCCAGCGCCCAGCCCCGACGCTCGCCCGCGAGCTCGGCGGCCCTCTCGGCCAGGCCCGGCGGCGCGAGGTGCCCGCGCGGCGTCCGCGCGGCCTCGGCCGCGCCCAGGGCGGGCAGCCGCGGCACCCGCCGGGGCCCCGGCGCCCTCGGCGGCCAGGTCGCGCTGCCGCCGCGCGGCGTCTGCAGGGCGCACCACCCGGGCGTGGCGCCCGTGGGCGCCGCCGCCGCGCCGCCGGCACGGGCGCCGGGGCTGTCGCGGCGCGGCGTGGCCATGCGGGGCCGCGTGCTCCTGGCGCTGCCCCCGCTGTAGAAGAGCCAGGCGTCGGTGCCGCTGCCCGGCTCGGCGGAGCCCGGCTGCTTCGCGCTCCGGGGGGTGTTGAGCCACGCCTGCCAGCCGGCGGTGTCGTCGAGCCCGGCCCCTGCGGCCGCGGCCTTGGCGCCCTCGTCGCTCGGCCGCGCCTCCCCGGGCCAGTCAGCCCCGCCGGCAAGGAGCACCCGCGTGCACCCAGCACTCTGATCCGCGCCGCGCGTGTCCTGGTCGAGCACCACAGCCAGCTCGCCCACGGCGCGCGAGCCGACGACGACCCGCGCGCCCCCCGCTTCGATCACCTCGAGCGCGAGACGGGGCAAGATGATCTGCACCTCGGCGCTGGGCGCCCTTCCGTCTACCGCCCACAGCTGCCTGCAGGGGAACCAACAAAAAAACTGGCCACGCATAAACTCTCAGAGGCCCGCGCGGATCTCTTGGACATCGGCGCCTGGGAACCGGAACGCGCGCCAGTGGCGGCGCACACACTACGGCATCAGCCCTCTGATCAAAGCTCTGGAAGAGGTGCTGCGCTGCGGAAGTCCAAAAGTGAAGGGGCCCAGGGACACACACACACATAAATAAGCACAAATCCAAGTATTCCCGATATGTTTCAATATGTTCTGGGTTTTCGTCTTCCCCCCCACTTGCCATATTTCTTCTATTTTCCTGGGAGTTAACAATTAATCGTGTCTGTGTTTCCCATCGTGGGAAAGCTTGTTGTGGAAACCACAAGGTACCGATACCGCTCCTCCCCGTACCTCTCCTTGGGTGCGCTTTGACCAGGATTCCGAGGCGAGTCCAGCCGTGGCGACGAGAGCCTCCCAGGAGGCGCAAAAAAGGGGAAACAAGGCAAGGGCAGCGGTAGAGGTGCCTGTTCCTTCTCGGGCTTGTGGGTATGCTGTTGTCGCTTCTTTGCTGCCTGGCCGCCGTCGCGAGCGCCGCCGCGCCCAGCTTCTGGGGCACGAGCACGCGGCGCCAGCCCCCGCCCGCGGGTCGCAGGCAAAGCAGGGCAAGCCGCGGGTGGTCCACCACCCGCAGCTGCAGTGGCGAGGCCAGGATGGCCGGGGGCAGCGCGAAGGCATCGACCTCAGAGCAGGAAGTTCCGCATACATCCGGCGTCTCAAAAATAGCCTGACGAAGGACCCAACTATATGCAACTGCAAAAATCGCATTGTGGGTACCGCATTCGGTGGAGCTCCCTATGGGGCCACGAACCGTGAGGGGAGGTGCCAAATTAGTGTGTGAGTAGTATGCCACATTGGACGCGGTGGTGCCATGCGAACCCTCCCACTTGAGCCTTCGGTGGAGCTCCCTATGGGGCCACGAACCGTGTGGGGGGTGTGCCGAATTGGGCGCGGTGGTGCCATGCGGACACTCTTTCTGGAGCATTCGGTGGAGCTCCCTATGGGGCCACGAACCGTGTGATGGGTGTGCCGAATTGGACGCGGTGGTGCCATGTGAACCCTCGCACTGGAGCCTTCGGTGGAGCCCCCTATTGGGCCGAACCGTCTGAGGGGTGTGCCGAATTGGGTGTGGTGGTGCCATGCGAACCCTCCCACTGGAGCCTTCGGTGAAGCCCCCTATTCGGCCACGGACCGTGTGAGGGGTGTGCCGAATTGGGCGCGGTGTTGCCATGCGAACCCTCCCACTGGAGCCTTCGGCGGAGCTCCCTATGGGGCCACGAACCGTGTGAGGGGTGTGCCGAATTGGGTGTGGTGGTGCCAAGCGAACCCTCCCACTGGAGCCTTCGGTGGAGCTCCCTATGCGGCCACGAAGATTGTGAGGGGTGTGCCGGATTGAGCGTGGTGGTGCCATGCGAAACCTCCCACTGGAGCAGTAGAACCCTTGCTGGGCTTTGGGACCGCCAAAAAACGACTCGAGATGAAAAACCGGTCCCAAGGAAGTGGCCGAGAGGTCCGCGGCCCGTGTCTCGAAAACACTGACGCAGGGTGTCTGCATCTGGACACTCGGGGATTTCTGCCGTTTTCGTCGGTGTTCGGCGGCTGTCCCGTCTCGGAAGGCTCTCCAGCAGCCGCGCCTCGCCGAAAACCAACGCACTGCCATAGACGACCCCATGCCGAGAGGGGGTCAGAGGAGGAAAGGGTACCAATACCCAATACCGCTACCCTCGCCTCGTTTCTGCCCTCTGAGGGCCTCCTGGGAGGCCTTCGTCGCCACGGCTGGATTCGCTTCGAAATCATACCTCGGGAGAGGTCCGGGCGGCATCGGTAACGTCTTGCCCCCTCACGACCGGCTTGGTCCCGCCCTCGCGCGCCGCCGGCTGGGACACGGGCACCAGCCGGTCGAGGGCGCTGATCTCCCACGGCTGCCCCCGGGGCTCCTCGCCCGGCTGGGCCTCCGCGCCGTCCTCGGACAGCAGCCTCTCGGCTACGCGCACGAGTGGCCCTAGGCAAGAGTGATCTTTGGTGCGCGACTTTCGGGGGCCGCGAGAAGGCCGAATCCGAACGCGCAAGGCGCTACTGTCGCATCGCGTTCGATCATCTGGGGGCCCAATGTGCTCGCACCAAATGTCACTCCGGCGAAAGGCCACTCTTACGCGTAGCCGAAGCCTCGTGAACTCGGAGGCCAGCTTGGGCCCCGCCGGCGTGAGCCAGGCCCCGAACGCGTCCGACAGCGCGCCCCTGCTGCGGAGGGCGCGCTGGCGGAGCGGCTCCAGGTGCTGGCTCACCCGGAGGTCGAACCACTTGTCCACGTGCTCCCTCTTCGGAGATCTACTGAGCCGGGCCAGTTCAAACCCAGGTCGGTCGGACTTGCCAGGATCCTGCTCGCGAGCTGGGGGTCAATGCAGCCCTGGCCCTGCAGGATCCTGCCAGACACGGCGCTCTGGCCTACCCCCGGTTTGCATTGACCTCCGTCTCAAGACTCCCGACCTGTAAGCCGCCCACGCCGCCCGGAAGAGGCCGGCGTCCCTGCGCTCCTTGGCCGTCAGGTCCGCGCCCCCCATGCCGCGCCAGAGGGGCTCCTAGGGGGGGAGGGGCGAAAAGGTGCCGATGCCGATGTGCCTCTTCCAGGGGTGCGTTCTGACAGGAATTCCGAGGAGAATCCAGCCGTGGCGGCGAGGGCCTACCAGGAGGCACAAAGATGCCAAAACGATTGAAGGGTAGCAGTATCGGCATACATGTTCCTCCACAGAGCTCCAGCCCCGACGGCAGCACCGGGGAGACTCGCACCGCCGCCACGCCCAAGCGGACGTCGTCGGGAGGTGGCCGCCAGCTCGCCGCCGCGTGCTCGCCGTGACCGCCTGCTGCCCGCGGCTCCGCCGACTCCTCCGCAAGCTCCGGCCCGTCGGCGGGCAGGTCCGACGGCTGGCTGTCGGCGGTGGCCTGCCCCTCGCGCGAGCGCTCCACGGGCGCGTGGGCCCTCGCTGTGACATCTCGGAGGGTCATCCCTTCCGCTGCGGACACCATGTGCCTGCGCGCGTACGCGCCTGCCTTCACGGAGTCGCTGGCAGGCTTCGGCCTGGCGGGGGCGGCAGGTCCCTTCGGCTGCGCACCGCCGGCGCCCTCGCCCTTGGGCCTCTTGCTGCGCGCTTGGGCCAGCCCTGCCACCTTCTGGGACACGGTGAACGCCTCTGGGCCCTTCGTGTCCCTGGAAGCTCGTGCTTTGGCCCCAGCGGCCCCGGCCTTGGCCTGCTCCCGCGCCAACCGCCACCAGGCCTGGGGCCTCGCCTCGCTCACTGCGCTGGCCAACTGGTCCTGCAGGAACCCACAGGTACCGATACCGCCTGCTCCCCGGACATCTCCCAGGGCGCGCTCTGACCAAGCTTTCGAGGCTGATACAGCCGTGGCGACGAGGGTGTCTCAGGAGTCCTGGGCCCTGAAGCGAAGGCGAGGCAAGGGTAGCGGTATCGGTGCCTCTTCCTCCTCTGAAGTCCAGCCCGAGCCCACGGAGGCGAGCGACGACAGGCTCCAGCGACAGGGTCGCCCCCGAGCCGTCCTCGCTACCGAAGGCCGGGCACTGCAGGGTCCCCAGTAGCAGTGCGCCCCGGGCCAGCAGCGCCAGCGCGGTGCCCCGCACGAAGGGCTCGAAAGCCTCCGGCGAAACCATCAGCGCGCGCAGCGCGCGCCAGACTCCCGCCCGGTCGGTGTCGCTTGCGCACCTCATCATAGGCAATGGTACTGATACCGCTACCTGTACGACCACCTTTCGGATGATAAGCAGGTCGGGGGGAGGGGAAACAACCAACTGCTGGCAACTGCGATGGGTGTGATGATGACGATGCTGGTGCCGCGCACTCGAGTTGGCGACGACGCGTGATGACGATGTTGCGCCGCGATGCGATGTCACTATCGACCTCAGTCGATCGCAATATCGACATCACTATCGATTGCACTATCGATGCAACTATCCATCTCACTTTCGATATCACTGCCGATCGCACGATCGATGCAACTACCACCGATCTCTCGATCGACCTTACTAGCGATCCAACTATCAATATCACTGCCGATCTTACCACATCTCGGTCATCGGGACACCGTCGGGACACCACGGCGGAACACCGCGGGACACCGCGGGACACCGTCGGGACACCACTGGACACCACGGGACACCGCGGGACACCACTGGGACACCGCGGGACACCACGGGACACCTCGGGACACCACGAGACACCATCAGGACATTACGGCGGGACACCACGGGACACCATCGGGACAACGCGGGACACCACGGCGGGACACCCCCAGCCACCGCGCGCCCACCAGAGGGCCGGATTTGTGCGTCCGAATCGCCCTAGCGACGGCGGGATCATTCCTCTCGCGCGCCCACGCAGCATCGCCTCGCCCGCACGTACGACACGAACACGAAACCGAAACCGATTTCCCAGTGGGCGGTTCTCGGTTCCACTGCGATCTCACCCCCAAACCTCCCACCTTTCCCTGGCTTCTGCCTGTTGAGGGCATCCTGCGAGGCCCTAGTCGTCACATCTGGATTCTCATCGAAATCCGGGTCAGGACGCACCCGAGGAGAGGTCTGGGGAGTGGTGGTGTCGATGCCTTTTTTGCCCCCCCGCCTCAGAGCGTGGAGCGAGAAGTTGGCGGCGGAGCCGACGAGGCCGTGCCACAGCGCAAGCTCGAGGGGCGCGCGCGGGAGGACGACGTCCAGCCGGCGGTAGTGCGGCGCCACCCGCGCCAGGAACTGCGCCCACTCCAGAGTGCACCACAGGCGGCTGAAGTAGCTGGTGGTGACCAGGGCAACCATGGAGCGGCATGCCATGAGCGCTGCGCGCGTCTCGATCACGCGGTCGTCTCCCGCGCAGGGGCCGGCGGAAGCGGTGTCCACAGAGTCCTCGGCGACCGCACACGCGCGGTCCATCCAGCAGAGCCGGGACCGCCACGCGTCCAGAGGATCCTCGCTCGCCTCGAGCCTCTCCCTGCGCTCGGAGTCGTCGTCGCCGTCGTCGTCTCTAGTGGTGCACAGGAACCTCGAGGGAGAACAAAAATTGAAGCACTGGCTCAGGAGGGGGGATTTTATCGGCGATACATCACCGACCGACCAGTGATAGGCCCCCGATGGCCCCGAACTTGCAGGGTGGACGAAAGGACGGATAGCAAAGCGGGGGATAAGCGAAATAACTCACGCATTGCTCGAGCAGGGGATCGACCACGGAATTCATTTGCCCCAAATTTGAATCGTTCGTCGACTCTGCGAAACAATTCTGAAAATGTTCGTAGATCTGCTGAGCATTCCACGAATTTCCCGTGTATCCGACGATCTGACCGAGCTTCGGGCACATCAGTACTGCAGCCGATCCCCTGCTCGAGCTGCTGGCTTTTCCACCGCCTCCCTGCGCCTGAGGCGCCGATACGCATCGAGGGAAGGCGCCCGGCAGCAGGGCCGAAACCCGCTGCATGCGACAGAGTTCGTGCCGCCCCCCTTTCCCCGTTCCTGTTCGCCCTCCCCAGATGATCCTCGTCGTTTGGCGTTGGGCCTCGCTTAATGGGGGGCGATATGGGGGGGGGTGAGAGGTGCACTTCTGGGGCCCTAGAGGCCCCCATTTGGACCCTTCTGGGCGCCTGCAGGGGCCTTGAAGGGCCCATTTTCGGCAGCCCTCGCTGCCCCCCCCTCCCCCCTTATCGCCCCCCCCTTACGCGACACCCAAAGGCTTTCGGGCGGGGCGATCCAGGCACGCATGGAACGCCCCTGGCGAGGCGCAGCCGCTGCAGAGCACCCCGATACTGGAGAACCGTTGAAAACCCGAGGGCTGACCTGAACATCTTTCGCGAACATCTGTTCCCGAACTGTTGACGAACCGCTCGTTTTGAACCGAGGGGCCGTGGACAAGGCCCTTGGGGGCCTTGGAGCTCGCGAGCCGCTGATGAACAGTTCGCGAACATCCGAGCACGAACATGCTTTGACATCCTTCCGATCACATGACATGGGGCACGCCCAAAGAAAACCCGATCATCTTTCCTCCGATGTCGGCCACGTCGGCTTCCGGACAGAGAGCCCCGGCCTCCGGCAGCCGTCCGCGACGACCCTGGCATCCCTGGAGCGCCTTCGACGGGGCGCCCCCTGACAAGACGCGCCTCAGGGCCCCAGAAGCTCCCGTGCGTCACCCTCCGCTGCGAATCGAATCGCCAGGCGTCGCGACCAGGGCCCCAATACTCCGGCTCTCTGCCCGACTTGTCGAGCCCGCTCGGTCCGCGACGACGCCGGGCGAGGAGGACGCCCTGGGCGACGCCCGGGTCTCGGGGCTCGTCCGACCCGAGGCGGGGCATCCAACGTCCGGATCCTGTCGGCACGGGGCCCCCCGAAGTCCCGACCCCTTCTCCAGGGCCTGTTCGCGGCCAGGGCCGGCCGCCGGCCGTGGCCATGGCAAGCCCTTCGCTCCTCCTTCGGCGCCCCCTGTGGTAGCACGATGGCTGCACTGGGGTCTTTTGAGCAGGGACCGAACGTCCAGGAAGCCCTAGAGGCCTACCACGAACTGTTCTTAGAACCCAAAGATGTTCCAATAATAAAAACAATGCTCTTGGAACATAAACCCGACGCGTAAATTTACAACAGTCTCAGCCAGAAATGTTCTAAGAACATTTCGTGCAGACCACAAAAGGTTCTTAGAACATTCTTTGGTGGGCCTATAGGCGAGCTAGGACGCTTCGCCACTGCTTGGGTCTTTCCGTTCCCCCAGGCGCAGGCCCTCTTCTGGATCGGCCGCGCCGGCAGCCCCGTCGAGGCTCGTGAGTGTGCAAAGCACATCCGCGCCCGCGGCATCGCGGGCTGGGCCCCATGGGCCGCGACCCCGCGGAGACGTGGCGTTTTGTTTCGCGAATGTCCCGAATCGTTTCTTCACGGTCCCGGGGCCTTCTAGGGCCCCCAGAGGCTGAAGACGACGAAACGCCTCCGCGCCTGGATTTTCCCAATGCCCTGGAAGTCTGGGCTTGGCCTTCGGATTGCGCGCATACAGCCCCCCGAGGTGGTGCTGGCTGGCCTCAACAGGCCCCCCCGAGGAGTCCAGGCGGTCTCAACACCCCAACCCTTGGGCGCAGAGCGTCCCAAGGGCGCCACCTGAGGCGGCGCCAGGGTGTTGAGACAGTTCTGGGCCACTCGGGGGGCCTGCTGAGGCTAGCCAAGACTCCCTGGGGGGGGGGGCAGTCTGTGCGCAATCCGAGGCCTTCCCTTCGCGCACGCCCCCGAAACCCAGACCCCCGACGTCATGTTTTTTTTTTTTTTTTTTTTTTTTTTTTTTTTTTTATGACGCGATCCCCACAGGTCTGGACCGTTTCATTTAGCGTCATTTGTTGATGGTCCCGAGCCCTGTCGAGGGCTCCTGGAGGCCGAGAATGTCAAAACACCTCCCGACGTGATTTCTTAACAACGCGAGGGAGCCTGGGAATGTGGGGGTTCCCCAAGCCTTGATGTTTCCCATCTTAGTTAGCTGCCCCATGCGCCACCCGCAACCTGTAGCGTGTTGACAGGGACCTCAGCACGGACATGCAAAACGCACGTTTGGCGCGACACTTTCGCCATCACGTGGGCCAACACGTTGAGCCAACACGCAGCGTGTTAACACAGACGTTTCGAATATGGTACGTGTTGGGTTTGAGAACGGGCGTATCAGGGCAACTATGCTGGGAGGACGACTCCACGTTGTTTCGTTCTTTGTCCACCTTCCTCCCTCCCTAGTCCTTCTCCCCTCGCCAGGAATCAAGGGAGATGGAGGAGCAGGAGGAGGAAGAGGAGAGAGGGAGGGAAGAGGAGGAGGAGGAGGAGGAGGAGGTTGAGGTTGAGGGCGCTCCGAGGACGCGCGCGTCGAGGCGCGCGCGCGACTCGGCTGCGGCTCCGAAGCCGCGGGGGCCGCGGCCGAGGAGGCGGGAGGCCAGCGGCCTCAGGGCAGCCCAGCAGCCTGCTCCGCCTCGGGCCCGTTGGCCACGTCCTCGGCCCGCAGCCGCTTGGCCCGAGGAGTGCTCTCGACTCGGGCCTCGATCACGTCCAGGTCGGGGCTGGGGCGCTTGCCGCGGGCCGCCTCGAGCAACCAGCGGACCTTCTCGTCGAACGCCTTCAGCTTCTTGACAGGGGCCCCTGCCAAGGGGATGCCAGCTCGAGGAACGCCACCTCCGCGAGGAGGAACATCCGCACGATCACCAGCAGGACAGGGGGGGCGGGAGCCCGACGCAGGCTCCCCACTCCTGGCGGTCTCCGCCGCACCATCTTCGTGTCTGCCGCAATTTATCACAGGCTGCGGCCAACTGTCGGTGGAAGTCGTTGGACCCGAGGAGGCCGCCCCCAGCGGGACTGGCCTCCGCGGGTCTGCCGCGCCGCCGTCCAGCGCGAGGGAGTCGCCGACGAAGGAGGGGACAGGCTCAGCATCCAGGGCCACCAGCTCCATCGGCATGGGCTGGACCACCTGCCCCGAGGCGGCTGCAGCCCGAGCAGCGGCCGCTCGCGCGGCACGTCGGCGGGCGGCCTGCTTCTTGGGGCCGAGCAGGATGCCCTCCCCAGCGTGGGCAAACCGACGCCGCCCCGCGGCCTTCGGCCAAAGGCCGCGGGCGATCCGCTGGAAATAGTCTCGCCGAGTCCTCGAAGGAGCCGTAGGACAGCACGCGCGGAGACCCCGCCCCAGCAAGCGGCCAGCGGCCGCCGTGAAGAACCCGCACTTCAGGCAAAACCAGACGTCGAGGTTCTGGTGCAGCCGCATCACATGCGAGGGGTGAGGGCGGCCTCCGCCGATGTGCACGTCGTCATCTGCCAGCTTGAGCGTGTGGGCTCCGTCCCGCTGCACACCAGGGCACCGCGCCTCCAGCCACTGCGAACGGGATGACCGCGACGCCGAGCACCTGCACCTCAAGCAGCTGCCGTGGCTGTCCAACACATGAGACGTGCCGAAGGCAGCGACAAGGCTGGCTGCAGGGGGAGCACGCCCCCGCCTCCTGGCACGCCGCACTGCAGGGACCACGCCGTTCTCCGCCTCAATGGCGTCGAGGGTGGCTCGCAGCAGCCTTCCCCTGACCAGCGTGGCCATGTGCTCCGTCTGGTGGACCCGAGCCCGCTCATGGGCAGCGACGCGAACAGCGTCCGCCGCTGCGCCAGCCAGGATGTCCGCCACCGCGTTGCCGACGACCAGCCAAGGGGGGACCTGCAACTCGATAGCCCCGGCCATCTCCAGATGCGAGTACACGTGCTCCACGACGAAATCCGATCTGGGCCTGCTCCTGCTGCGAAAGGTCTGCGCGAGGAGGCCCCACAGGTCGCTGTCGTCGCCGTGCGGCTGCAAGTCAAAACGCCTCCACCAGCCCTCGCAGGCGGCCAGATTGTCCGAGATGTAAACCGTGGGGCCGAGGGAGCCTTGTGCGGCGAGCACGAGCGCCCGCAGCTCACCACGGTGGAAGGTCTGCGTGCTGCCGCTGAGGCCGCCCCACGCCGCCTGCTCGAGACCTCCGTCGACCAGATGGACACGAGCAACTGCAAGACCCACACGACGAAGATGCGGGTCTTGCCCCTCTGGTCCTCCGCTGGCATCGCCGAAGAGGACGAGTGGGGCTTCCTCGGTGCCTTGCCCCAGTGCCCCTGGGGCCAGCGCGGCGGCCTGCTGGCCGCCCAAGAGCGTCCAGAGGTCGTGGTCGCGGGGGGCGACGACCTCGGTCCAGCAGCGCGGGATGATGCCGCGCAGCCAGAAAGCTGCGTGCGCCTCCTGGTCCGCGGCTGCGCGGGGCAGGAGCTCGCTGCTGTCGTCGCAGGCCTTGCTGCCGACGTTGCAGGGGCAACTCCAGAACCGATGGAAGGGAGTCTCCTCCTCGCCACCACATCGTGGGCAGTTGGCGCACTCAATGTCGCCGAAGATCTCCTTCTTGCGTGACCTCGGCCAGGCTCCACCC